TCCCAAGTCCCCTGATAAACAGGAAACTTTGAAAGTTAGTGATCACACTTCTTTGAGTCCTAGCTGACTTTCTTCAGGGTTACTTTAGGGATGAATATATATCAATTATAATCATATAAATTGACAGCTAGACATTTTTTAAATTACTCAAGGTATCTTCTTCTTCCTCCAGCCTTTTGATTATTTCTCTGACATTCAACAGAAACATCACCGAAGTGGGATAAAAACGAAAAGTATGAGTTCTATGTAAATCAGCTCTGCCAAACACACAGAGATGACAGCAATCCAAAACTCAAGACTAAAACTGGGCTGGGGATTATCTGTGAATTTTGTTTATCTGTGGTTTCCCCATCCCATTGCCATGAATAGAGAGGTGCTGACAGAAACAGCACCAAAGTCCACTCAAGACTCAAGGCAAAGGGAACTGAAAAGGGAAGGCCTATTTGTTTCTGGTTCTGGTAGGTGTGTTTGCTGACTTGCTTCACCTCAATCCCACAGAGCCTGGTGTGGCCAGGTGCTAGTCTAACTCAGGTGACATCACTCTGGTGATGGCAAAGTAGACTATAGTACTCCCATTTCCAGGGGCTTGGGCACTGAATGTACAGAGTCAAAACTTACATTTTCTAATGTTCCCAGGTCTGGTTTGTGCCATGTTTCAATTTTAATGAAGAAATCATCTTTCATATATTCATTCTGCAGAAAACACAAGAGTGAAATGAGAGTGATCTTTTACCAAGTTCTTCGGGGCACATTTCTGCGAGAGTCTTCCCAGCACAGGCTCCATGCTTTGGCTCTACAAGCAGACTGATTCCCCAAGAGGCAAAGCTATCTATTTTTACAGACTTGTCACGAAAACCAAATGCCGCATGTTGTTAAATAATTTAAACAATCACGCTTGTCATGCAGTGTTGAAGGTTAATATTAAGAAGCCACGAGGTTTGCTGGGCAAATCCGGCATTCACAAAGAGTAGCAGAAGCAAAATAAAGTCAAGAGGGAGATTCTGGAGACCCGGCTGGAAGGAGGCTAGTAACACTAGGAACACATAGGGTTGTGTAGATGGGGGATAGGAGCACAGGGGTAGAGAGCTATTCGGAGGTAGGGGACAGTTTTCATAAACAAAAAAGCAAGGAAGAGTTGAAAAAAAAATAACTGTAAAAACAAGGTTTACAGAGGAAGACAGAGTATGCGACACAGAAACTGTTTTACTCACCGTTACAACTGAGGCATGATGGAGAGCAGACAATAAATGAAAGGGGAAAAATTTCAGAATATTAATCTGAGTCAAAACAATCTGTCCCAATATTTAATGCCACAAAGATTAAACTACCTGAAAACATAGAACATTCAGTAGTTTACATCCGTAAAACACAGTTAAAAACACAAGTGACATGATATTTAATTTGGATTATGGCGTACAAACAAAATATGAAGAATAATCTACCTTTTAAATAATTTGAAATAATCTTCAAAGGAATAATGTCACAAAAGCAAAACATAATTTATAGGGCATCCTTAGCAAATGAGAAGAAATTATTTCAGAGCTGGAAATAGTCTTCCTCCATTATGTGACAAAATCAACAGAAATACGCCTCTTTATGAGCGTGGTCAACATTCCCTTCAGGTTTCGGTCTTTCATCTGTGTACCCCCTGGAGCCAGCTTGGTCAGCAAGGACCTCAATGTGGCGTCTGGGAATGGACCTGTGCCCTTCACAAAGGTTTGGGAAGAAGAACCTCGGGCAGCCTCTCCTTTGCCACCCACCACTCAGGCAGTGACTATCTGAGGACTGTCGAAGGCCCTGTTAAGTTACACTCAAAGGCAAGGGCACCACACGTCCCTCTGTCATTAATGGGATCCAAACCGAAACCCACTGCTATCGAGTAGAATTCCAACTTACAGCAACCCTGAAGGACAGAGTAGAACTGCCCTATAGGGTTTCTAAGGTTATAATCTTTATGGAGGCAGGCTGCCACGCCTGTCTCCTGCAGAATGGTGGTTGTGAACAGCTGACCTCTCGGTTGGCAGCTGTGCGCTTAGCCATGGTGCCACCAGAGCTCCATTAGTAGTAGGTGGAGGGGTGAAACGGCTGCTGAGAGCCAAGCTTACTTGTTCTACAGTAGGGGTATGCATTCCAGGCCTTTTCGTGAAACACCAGGGAGCCCTCAGGAGCAATCATCCTCACAAATGCTGGAACTTTACTGTGAGGAGGAAAACATTGGACACGGTTTCAACAGCAACATCAACTGATAACTGGCATATCCTGGACTACTTCAGAGACCTGTGATCAAAGGTAACCGAGTTCCAGGGCTGTATCAACAGTTTTACTGTCAATCCCAAGTAATCAAGTACAAAACTTAATGTTAACAACAAGGCCGTGATTCAGAATACATTTAACTGTACAGAGGATTTTCTAAAACAACAGTGAATCTTTCTTAGGTTTACCTAGCTTCTGATCTACTCTCCTGATCTGAAATCTAAGAGGCTGAAAACTAAGGCTACTCCAGCTTTGCATTAATACAACACAGAAGTTCTCTTATGTGCCTACACTACACTGCATCTTAAAACAAAACAGAAGCACTGGAATAAGAAGTCATTTCTGAATAAAATTCTTCTAGTACACTTTACAGAATAACTCTAAAGAAAAACAACAAACAGAAGGGATGTATGATGAATGACACTCACTGCCTCAGGTATGGTCAGAAGTGGGGAAAGGGCTAAATATGAGATAATTACATGACCACCCACTGCTGCCAAGTTGATTCTGACGCATAGTGACCTGCACTAGGTTTGCAAGGAAGTAAATTTTTATGGAAGTAGATTGCCCAGCTGTCAGTGAACTGGCTCATGGTTTTGAACCTCCAACCTACTAGTTAGCAGCCAAATGCCTTAGGCACTGTGCCACCAGAGCTTCTTAATACATGATCAACTTGTACAGATTCTTAAGATAACCACGCAAGCTCCCAACAACAAACAGGCAAAGAACATCAGTAGACACGTTACAAATATAAAATACAATTGGTTAATGTTCTGGTTACCTAGCATTGCTCTGACAAGAATATACTACAAATGGGATGGCCTTAACAAGCAGCAGTTTATTGTCTTCAAGTTTGGAGGCTTTAAGTCCAAGTTCAAAGTGCCAGGCTCTAGGGGCTGGGTGAAAGCCCCTCAGCCTTGAGGTCCAGCTTTGCCTCCAGCTCCCAGCCCAGTGAAGCTTGAGGCTTTTCTTCACTGAGACAGTTGCTGACTGCTGAGGCTGAGAAGCTCAAGGTTGACAAGTAAAAAGGCACAGTCCCGATATTACCAAATCACACAGCAGGCCATTAATTCAAGTCCATTGTTAAGTCCCAAGGTTGGCAGAACATGACAGGCTGCTGAACAATGACACGGCTACATGCAGGGTTCAAGGTGCCATAAGCTAGAGACTATCCCCAAGGCTTCTCCTTACATACAAGAAGAAGACCACATCCCAAAGGCAGCTACTCAGCTGCTTGTGGCTGATCCCACCATGGAGTTGACTGCCAGGCTCATGATGGAGATTAACTACCACCAGCTAGCTGCCCAGCCACTCAACCAGGCCCAGCCAAGCTGACATACAAATTTAACTACCACAGTTTATAAACAAATGGAAAAGTCACTTTTTATCAGAAACGCAAATAAAATGGCCACTGTTGCTGATTCAAGCCTACTGCACCATAAAGGTACAGGCTCATTCATGGTCCTCTGTGAATGTCCTGTGCTGAATGGAATGTACGTTAGTGACTATAGCAGGCCCTGGGTGGTGCTAAGGATTTAACATGCTTGGCTGTCGACTAAAAGCTTGGAGGTTCTAGTCCACAGAGAAGTACCTTGAAAGAAATGCTGGCAATCTACTTCCAAAATTTTAGTCACTGAAAAATATCCTGTGGAGAACAGTTCCACCCTGACTTACATGTCATCACTGTGAGTCAGAGCTGACTCAATGGCAACTAGTTAGGGTTATTGCGAGGTGTGAATCAGGTAATGTCTATAAGAGGTTTAGCATACACACAGTACAATGAGAAGTCAATAAATGGTAGTTATTGCTTTTTAATTATAGCTGACATGGAGTTGGGTACTTTTACATGTCTTTTTAAAATCAAATCCCCCAACTGCACTGGGAGGCATTATGTCATCATTTCATATAACAGGCATTTCAGTGTATGTCAAGGCTATGTCTCTCCAACTTCAAGCCCTATGTATGTTTTATAGCCACTTCTCTGAGGACTATCAAGCACAACTGAATTTCCCAAAATAAGAGAAAAAACAAACTAAACAAATTTTGGACCCAGAGAGGACTTCTGACCCCAAATAAGACCAAAAAGTTGGCCAGAACTATTTCTATGCTAAAATCAAGAAAAGCGTGCTTCAGTGTTGTGTCCTTTCACCATACATATTCAACCTATATGCTGAGCACATAATCCAAGAAGGTAGACTACCTGAAGAACACAGCATCAGGGCTGGAGGAAGACTCAATAACAACCTACGATGTGCAGAAGACACCATGATGCTTGCTGAAAGCGAAGAGGACTTCAAGATCAAAGACAACAACCTTCAGTATGGATTACACCTCATAATAAAGAAAACAAAAATCCTCAAACTGGACCAAAAAGCAACATCATGATAAATAGAAGATTTAAGTTGTCAGGAATTTCATTTTACTTGAATCCACAATCAACTCCCATGGAAGAAGCAGTGAAGAAATTAAATGACATATTGCATTGGGCAAATCTGCTGCAAAAGAACTCTTTAAAGTGTTAAAGGACAAAGATGTCACTTTGAAAATTAAGGTGCACCTGCCCCAAGCCATGGTATTTTCCATCACTTCATATGCATGTGAAAGCTGGACATCAAATAAGGGAGACCAAAGAACTGATGCATTTGAATCACGGTGTTGGTGAAGAATACTGACTATACCATGCCAGAAGAATGAGCAAATCTGTCTTACAAGAAGTCCATCCAGAATGCTTGGACTGTGAGATGGTGAGGACAGTGAGGACCGGTGAGACTTTGTCTCCTGTACTTCGGTCATGTCACCAGGAGGGACCAATCCCTGGAGAAGTCTATTGTGCGTGGTAAAGCAGAGGCTCAGTGAAAGAACACCCTCAGTGAGATGGACGGACACTGGCTGCAACAATGTGCTCAAGCACAGCAACAACTGTGAGGCTGGCCCAGGACAGGGTAGTTTTTTGTTTTGTTGTACAGAGGGTTGCTATGAGTCGGAACTGACTCAACAGAGCCTAACAACAACAACATATCTATGTTGAATTCTGGAGGCTAATCAAGGCAAAAATATTCTCCCATTATTAAAAAACTAAAACCAAATATGGGTGAAGTCAAATCAGAGTATATGTAATTCATGTGGGTAATTTTTAAGACAAGATACAGACTCTCTCTCAGAGTATGATAAACACACCTGTCAATGGTTCAGTTGGTCAACTTAGAAAAGGCAAAAGAAAAATAACCATGGACTAGCTTAGAAATATATGTTTAACCATTTCAAGGCCATCCAAAGTTGGGGCTTCTGAGTCAGGCTTGTTGCTGTCAGGTGCCGTCAAGGCGGCTCCACCTAATGGCGACCCTATGTACGAGAGAATGAAATAGTGCCTGGTCCTTAGTGGGCTTAGCCTCATCATAATGCCCAAGAGCAAGAGTTCTTTGAGAACACATATTCAACCCTCACCCAAATTCTGAACTCATGTTAAGAACATTTAACTTCAGGGTACAATTCAACCACAGTGTTTTATTCAATTGTGTTGGAAGGAGATAATCTTTAGCTCTCACCTTATCATAAAAATATCTACGAACTTGTTTGTTGCAAGATAAGTGACTGTCACAGTGGTATAGGAAAACAATGGCTTATGTGGTTTAAAAGATGCACTATAAATAACGAATGTACACTGAAGTTCTCTTGATCTAAGTTCTCCTGATCTAGGAGCACTGTTTAAAATATCCTGTTACTGAGATAAATAATACCTTGGCAAATCATTTCAAACTGTACTTCCCCTTGGTATTTCAACTAGATGTATCTAGTTGATAACAAACTCAGAAGTTCCATTTTTCCACCCTTTTCCATTCTACTGTGCACAAACTATAAGCATCAAAATGTAGTAAAAACTAAGGAAGAAGTTGAAAACCAGATTAATTTGTCATAAAGAAAGAAAAGGTGATTAACATTTCATTGTAAAATCAATTGAAATATACCTTAAACATATCAGGCACCTCATGCATTTATTCACTCATTTATGGAGTGTCTATTACTGGCAGGGGCTATGTAAACACCTGTGAGCAAACAGACTCAATTCCTTCCCAGAGATTACCATTGGAGAAAGGAGAGAGAAAACAGCCAAGTCAACAACAAAAAGGCAGAGAACTACCACTCCTAGAGTATGGTAAAGGAAGAGTGTGGTGGTTATGTTTGTGTGTCAACTTGGCTGGACCTGGTTAAGTGGCTGGGCAGCTGGTGGTAGTTATTCCCCATGATGAGACTGGCAATCAACTCCATGGTGGGATCTACCACAAGCAGCTGAGTAGCTGCTTTGGGTATGTGATCTGCTTCCTGTATACAAGCAGCAGCTTTGGGAATGGTCTCTAGCCTATGGCATGCTTGGACCCTGCATGTAGCCGTGTCATTGTTCAGTACCCTGCCATGTTCTGCCAACCCTGGAACTTACAGTGGACTTAAATTAATGGCCTGCCATGTGATTTGGTAACATCGGGACTGTGACTTTTTACTTGTCAACCTTGAGCTTCTCAGCCTCAGCAGCTAGCAGCTATCTGAGTGAAGAAACGCCTCTAGCTCCAGTGGGCTGGGAGCAGGAGGCAGAACTGGACCCCAAGGTTGCAGGGCTTTCACCCAGCCCCTAGAGCCCGGCACTCTGAACCTGGACCTAAAGCCTCCAAACTGTAAGATAACAAACTTCTGTTTGTTAAGCCCATCCCATTTGTGTTATATTCCTGTCAGAGCAGCACTAGTAACCAGCACAGAATTTGGTACCAGGAGTGGGGTACTGCTCTGACAAATACCTTAAATGTGAAAACAGGAGTGGAGTGCATCCTTGACCCAAGACCCTGGCAGAGAGACCCCAGCATACGGCATGAGAGACTGGCAGAGAGATACCAGCAGAGAGACCAACATGAAAGACGGCAAGAGCAGAGCCCAGAAACCGGCATCAAACA